CGATGGATCGCCTGGAGCTGTGGAGCAGAACGGCGTAAGTATAATGTTATTATTTCTGAATTAATGTTTGGCTATGCACCACCTGTGTGTCAGCTTTAACAGTGTCACATTCAACACATTTTCAAAATAAGATGAGATTAAATCTACCTCATCCCCTCCCTAATGGAAAAAAAAATTTAAAAAAAAAAAATCTTCACACTTTTGCCAATCACACAATCTCAAAACTACTAACTAAACTTAGGAAAGGTAGTTTTGCACTGGCGAGTTGTGTCGTCAGTGCAATTAGTTCAGCATAACCTTGCTAAATTTTATGTTTATGTTTCAGGTCCATCTGAGCGACAACCATGGGATGGGGATCTTGGCTCAGCTCCTGTGGCAGGCTTGCTACACGGAGCTAGAGAGGCAGACACCTGCCCCACCGCCCGGTGTCTCCTCCCCATCCCGCGTCGCCACCAGAAGGGTTAAGCCAAAAGTGGTCGTGACCGGATCTTTGCCCGTACCACGCCCACGCCCTACTGATGACGAAGGATACACCAAGGTTGAACCAGGCAGAAAGGTAACAGTGACACAGTGTATAAACTGATATGGTTTATCAATTGTGCTTTGCTGCAGATCAGTTGCCATTGAATTGTCCAAACATTTAAAACTGCGGCAGCTGTTCTATTCAGTAGAAAGTGATGTCACTGAAAATATTGATAGAGTTTGTGTGAAGTCACATAAAGTTTCCATTTAAACTCAGAAACTCAAAACTTAATTTTTCTTTTATCAAGCTCAGCAAAATTTCATCTTGCTGCAACACTTGACTATTCTATAGATGCAATTGCCTAATAGACTAATAACCAGATAAACTGTGTGGTCAGTTACTGGTAAAATTTACTCCAAAAAAACTCCAATTTTGTGAGACATGCTAGATAAAAATAGTATCATTAACATGCAGAAAATTTCACACCTCAACCAGAAAACCAGTATAAGTGTACCTTTTAAATTTTAAAACTACAACATAATTGAGTGGTGTTTTATGAGATGTTTTCAGACATTAAATTGTCAATATTTTGAACATTATACAATACTTGGATATATGAAAAGCTAAAAATATTTAGTTAGAACTCTTTAATGGCCACTGTAAATCACAACAGTTTCAGTGTCCCAATATTTTGTGTGGAGGCAACTCCTTATTTCTGTAATTTGGTTCAAATGGTCTTTGTTCCATAGACTCTGTAGCTTTAAAGATATACTTTAAGTTTACTGATGAAGTGTCCATCACTTGTTGTTTTGATTTACCTGGAATGTTTCTCAGCATAATCTGATCCATTTTCATTCTATTCTGGATGTCTTATTCCCAAAGAAACTGGTCTGGTGATGTAACTGCTTGTCTCCATTCCATTTCATGGCTGATACCGTTACTGATGGTTTAGACCTCAGAGAGACCAATGTGTGGTGCTAGGGATTTAAGGAGGATCTCTACATTATTTACATTATCTCTACATTTTGAATGCAATTTCAATTTAGAATGTTATGACATTGTGTGAACAGAACCTCTTATTACATATTATTCAGGTTTTTATTAATTTGATTTTTCACAGAAGAACCAGAGCTCTCCTGTGGGACTCCAGGCAGGACTGGTTGATGTGAGTTTAAGACATGACACTAGTCACATAGTCCTAATCAAATTATATAGTGCATAATATAAACATTTTTGATCCATGTGCACAGGTGGTTTGTCCACATACTTCTCCTCTGTGCTGTTCTGTGCTGTTCAGCCCCGCCATGTTGGTTGAGATGGACAAGATCTCTCCATCCAACCTTGATTCTTTTCCTAAGGAAAAGAAGGTAATTTTTTATTGTTAAGTTGAGTCAATTATAAAAGATTCAGTGTTTGATTCTGGACTTTGTAAAGAAACCACTGTTTTCTTTTTGAAAGACGTCTGAGGCAAGACGTCCCAAAGCTGTTGCCCGTAAACGCCGGCCGCAGGCAGTGGTCAAGGCAACGGCTGGGGAGGTGAGCACTGCCTGCTCACCTTCCAGCTCAACAACCCGGGAGGTGGAGACAAGGTGGGTGTAGGATTACAGATATTTTCCATGTCTGGTATATAAAACTGACTTGTGTATTGTGTTCTGTAGCCTGTTGTGGAGGTGAGGCGCCGCCCCTCTCCTTCACGCTCCTCTCCTGGTCCGGAGGTGAGACCCTGCTCACCTGCCAGTTGCCCACCTGCATTGGAGGAGGACCAGGTCAGTGTTGTTTATGTGTTGATATGTTCATGCCAAATGTGTGATTTTACTCATCAATCATGCTTATATTGCATAGGCGGCTGTGGAGGTGAGAAGCCTTCCTGTCCTCGCACTCCTGTGCAGACGTGGTGAAAGTTAGTACACCCGTCATCTCCACATCCAGGATGGCACGGAAACGCTCTACACGTGCCAGCTCCACATCCGGGATGGAGGAGAATGTCTCGCGAGAGACAATAAAACCACCTTCCTCAAAGCGTCGATGCTCCCAGCGGCAGGTGAGCTTGTTTTGTCTTTCCACAGCATTTGTCCTGTTTTATTAAAAATGGGTGACTAATACTAAATTTTCTTTACAAAGCCTAAGGGAGCATCTACACTGAAGGTGAGACCTGTGTCAACTCCTGTTTCCCTGACTGAGATGGAACTGGATGAGGTATGAGCTAGTTTATATATTGGAGTTATGTCATGTGTCTGTGACTGTCATTTGTCTTTGACTGACTGAATATGGGCTTCTGTATACATGTTTTTTGTAGTGTGTAGAGGTCGAAGTGACTCCAGGAACGTCACTTAGCAGTTCCAAAGACCAGATGGGGATGTTGACAGACCAGGTGAGTTGAACCGTGTCAAAAAATATATTTATAGGGTATTTTAGCAGGTAAGTCAGGTGAGAACGGCTTCTCCTTTACAATGATGACCTGGGACCTATGTAGCATGTTTTGGGTGGCTGGGATTGATGAATATAAATAAATATATAGCCAGATAAATGAAAAGAAGTTACAGTATGAAGCCACGCTAATATTAATACACTGTCTTTGCATCTTGTAGACCTGCCCTTCTCCTGCGTCCTCTCTGCCGCCTTCTTCTCCACTCTCTCCACTCAGCCCTCCTCATCTGACCAGCCCTCCCTGTTCTTCTGTGACCAGTCAGCCTTCTCCGCTCAGCCTTCCATCAGCTGTCCAAGAGGAGAGTGCTTCAGACAAAGGAGAGAAAGATAAGTCTTGTTGTGCACAATCTGATGTAGTACCTGTTAGTGTTAGGGAAAGTCTTCCTTCTGTAATTAGGGGTAGTTTTCATCAGGGCAATAGTCGGTTTTTGTATGGAGGTGTACAGTGCATGGCAATTTCTCTGGTGGCTTTAGCTAAGCATACGGAGTTGAATGTGTTTTCGTGGGATCAGAGGCAGTTAGATAGGGTCCTGATTCTTGGGGATGCACTGTACACAGAGCGTCGGAATAAGGGCTCGATTAGTGGGGATGGGTATTTACTTGTTACAGAGTTACCAACCGAGTCTGTTATAGATGGGCAGCAGTTCAGATTTTCTTTCAGCGAGCCATGTAATGGAGCTGCAAATGTGGTAGAGCACGAGTTTATTGAGGAAGGCGCGTGGGTGACGTTAGATGGTGGTTTAGAACAGTTGTTGGCACAGTACGACACATGTCTTATGACACTCTGTGGTAGTACTTGTGCAGTTATTAAAAGCAATGGTCGGTTTGCCGTGGTAGATTCTCACTCGCGTAGTGCTGAAGGGTTGGTAGATGCTGATGGCAAAAGTGTGGTTGTGTATTTTAATAGCATAGATGAGCTGTATAGTTATTTCTGTGCATTGGCTGCATGTTACGGTGATTGTGATGATAGTGATGACGTGTCTTTTAAAGAGTTTGAAATGACTGGTGTTAATGTTGTAGCAGAGGATAGTCTGAGGGGCTTAAAGCGCAAAAAGGCTGCAGAAGTTTCTTCTTCTGTGCCCCTAAACACGCCTTAAAAAGACAAAACAGGACACTGACGTTGACTTTGGATGTGCTGTGCACCAGTGTTCAAGAGAATGCCCTGTCCTTCAATCCACTTACTGAAAGTGATTGTAAGCACTTGTGCAAACACATTAAGGCAGAGTTTCAGAAGGTTGGTGTAGCAGATCCTAAAACTGTAGGTCCATTAGGCGCACCGTGTCACAAAGACAAAATTGTTGCGGACGGTAATTGTTTCTTTCGTGCGATTTCGCAAGCCATTAGTGGCACACAAAAAGATCATAGGAAAATTAGACTTGCGATTGTGAAACACCTTTTAAATAATCCTTTAAAATATAACACACTACTGCGCGATGGTTATTCGTCTGTAGAAGAATACATAAACACCTCGAACATGCGTAAAGTTGGCAGTTGGGCCACTGAAGTAGAAATTCACGCCGCTGCGGATTATTTAGGCGTCAACGTATTTACATTTTATAATGGACATTGGCTTAAATATGGTTGTACTACCAAGCCTTTGTCATCCAATGGCATCTACCTAGAAAATATTAACAGTCATTACGAAAATGTAACTTGCGTCAAAATACCGAATGCTAATGGTTGTTATGAATGCTGCCAGATATATCGTTTATTAGTGGAGGGCTATAATATTAGGTCTACAAGTTTAGCTGTGAAATCACAGGTTAATGTAGATAATGAAATTCGTGTAAAGTCTGTATCAAAATATATACAAAAGAAAAAACAGGCTGCCAGCAAACATTCATATAGAATGAATGAATTGTATAGAAAGAAAGTTAAAGCTGCTAGTATTAACAAATATAGAGCTAATTTAAGTTTTCAAAATAAACTTAAAGCTACCAGTATTAAGAAATATAGAGATAATTTAAGTTTTCAAAATAAAGTTAAAGCAGCTGGTATTGGTAAGTATAGACATAATTTAAATTATCAAAATAGACTTAAAGCGGCAAAATAGACTAATAAATAGCAGCTAGTATTAATAATATAGACTTAATTTAAATCATCAAAAATAAGCTTAAAGCGGCTAGTATTAATAAATATAGACTTAATTTAAATCATCAAAATAAGCTTAAAGTGGCTAGTATTAATAAGTATAGACTTAATTTAAATCATCAAAATAGACTTAAAGCCGCTAGTATCCATAAATATAAAGTTAATCTACAACATAAACAAAATCTTAAGGCAGCCAGTAAACTTAAGTATAAAGTAAATCCCCAACATAAACAGAAAGTAAAAGCATTTGGCAAACAAAAATACCATAATAATGAAGAATTTAGAAATAGGACCCGGGCAGCATTCAGGAACAAGCAAAAGCAATTGAAACAAAAATTAGAAAACTTCACTTTTGTCATGGAGCAGTTTTTAAAGGTAAGTGAAGATGGTCCAGAATACATTTGCTGCGTGTGTTTAAAACTCTTATTTAAAAACCAGGTCTTACCTTGTAGAAAGGAAGACTTTATGGCTAAACCGAAATGCGCGGATGTAGCTAATGCCTGTATCTCAGAGGCCTATTTACATGCGTGTGATATAGATTGTCCGTCGCCATGCCCACTCTTCGATTGTAGAGGTAGTTTATGGATCTGCTACACTTGCAACTCTAAACTGTGTAAAGGCCAAATGCCACCTGAGTGTTCAGTTAATAATTTACAATTGGACGACATTCCACCTGAACTCGCCTGCTTGAACACTGTTGAACAGCATATAGTTGCACTTAATATTAATTTTATGCAAGTTTTAGCTTTTACCAAAGGGATTTCAGAGAGGCATTCATGGGCCAGTAACGTGTATACCGTCGAGAGTTTCTGACTCAGTTCGGTTGTTGCCGCGTAGTAATATGGATGGTTGTTTGTTGCCCGTTAAACTTAAGCGTAAACTTACGTATAAGGGACATTATGAGTATCAGTATGTAGACACAGCGCGAGTACGGAGGGCCATTGCGTTTCTTAAACAAAACAATCAGTATTATTTTGACATTGATTTTAATGAAGAGTGGGTAAACGAGTTTGCCAGGGAAGAACAGGAAGCTATAGATACGGGTGCAGAAATTAATGTAGAAGAAACTGTTAAGGATAGGGGTGCAGTTGTTAATGTAGAAATGGAAAACCAGGCAGAAGAGTTAGATGATGAGCTTCTCCATGATAGACAGCGTCACTGTATGTACCAGGACACATGTTTCATGCCGGTCGATATCGCTCAGGAAGCACTAGATCACTATTTTGAGGGTGTTTTAAATTTAGCTCCAGCCGAGGGGAATAGTCCAGTTAGTTTATTAACTGATAAAGAAAATGAGGCTAAATGTTTTCCCAGGGAGTTTCCATATGGTCGTAATACATTTCATAGTCCTCGGCCTATTCGTTTGACCATGTGTAGGTATTTTATTAACAGGCTATTGCATGTGGATGGTAGATTTTCACAAAATTTTAAGTTTCTTTTCTTGGCGTTGTACATGTTAGAAGTTCAGCAGGTAGTTTCAAAAGTGTCGATAGCTTTGCGAAAGGGGCATTCCAGTCCCAATAATGCTGCTGCAGGTGAAGCAACTTTAGAAAATTTGTTACAGTATGATAATGGCTATCGTTTTTTGCAGCCTATTAGAGGGACAACCGCCCTTCTGGCAGTCTGCACAAAAAGATTTGTTTGCGTGCATTCGGCAGCTTGGTATTCCGACATGGTTTTGTTCGTTTAGTTCCGCTGATCTCCGCTGGTCAAGCCTTCTTAAAACGCTCTTAAAGCAGGAAGGTAGTACTCGGAGTGTTAAAGATTTAGATTGGGCTGAGAGATGTGACCTTTTGCGTCGTAACCCTGTAACCGCGGCTCGCATGTTTGATGCCCGTTGGCATCGTTTTTTGCGTAAAGTTATTCTGTCCCCAGCTCAGCCCATCGGTAAAGTGATAGATTATTTTTATCGCGTAGAATTCCAGCAGCGCGGATCAACACCCCATGTCCATTGTTTATTTTGGATAGAAAATGCCCCAAAGCTCGGCGTAAATAAAGATGAGGAGGTAGTTCAGTTTGTTAATAAATATGTTACCTGTGAAATACCCAAAGATCTGGATTTATTGGAAAAAGTTGCTTCCGTGCAGCAGCATTCTAAGCGTCACTCAAAAACGTGTCGAAAAAACAACAAAGTGTGTCGTTTTAACTTCCCGCGTCCGGTATCAGCGCGTACATTTATTAAACATAAGGACCCAGAATCAGAGCCCATTGTTAAGAAGGAGGAGGCTCAATTAATTATGAGCGTGCTGAAGAATGCTGTTCTTGATGAAAATAACCTGTGTCTTAGTCCTGAAGAGTTGTTTGCGTCACTGGAGTTAACACAGTCCACATTTGAACAGGTGTACAGCGTTTTAGACACACACACACACATAGTTTTAAAGAGGGAGGTTAGAGAAGCATTTATAAATAACTACAACGAGAAATTATTAACTTGCTGGAATGCCAACATGGACATTCAGTTCGTTGTAGATGCGTGGGCGTGCGTCGTATATATTATTTCGTATATTTCTAAAGCTGAGAGAGAGATGGGTTTACTTTTAAGTAATGCACAAAAAGAAGCTTCCAATGGTAATGTTAGTGCGAAAGAGGCATTTAAAAAGTTAGGCAGCGTTTATCTTCATAATCGTGATGTCTCTGCGCAGGAAGCTGTGTATCGGGTTACAAACATGCACTTAAAGGAGTTTTCACGTAAAGTTATTTTTGTCCCCACTGGCGATAATATAGTGCGTATGAGTAACCAATTGGCGAAATAGATGATAAAATGGGGGACGATATTTGGATGACAAACAGTATTGATAGATACTTGAGTAGACCAAATGACAGCACATTTAATGACATGTGCATTGCGACATTCGTATCCGAATATCGCTTACTTGGTCCGTCTGATAAATGTAAAAATCCAATTCTTTTACAGAATAGATTAGGCGCGATTACCAAGCGAACACGGACCAAGCCCGCTGTTGTTAGATATGCGCGATTTTCTGAGACTAAAAACACAGAGTTATTTTATCAAAGTATTCTTCAGTTATTCTTTCCGTATCGCGTTGAGGGTGATCTTAAGCCGCCTCCATTTGAAACATTTGAACAGTTCTACAAAACCGGTGATGTGCGTTTGAGTGACGAATCGATTAATTTGGTTAAGACGATTGTTGATTCAAATAGGCGTCGATTTGAACTTGCAGCTGAGGACTTGGATGAAGTGTATGAGCAGATGGAGTGTGGAGAGATTCAGGAGGATGCGTGGGGCTTGCTCTGTCCAGAACAGGAAGTTGAGAGGTTGGAGTCGAGGGAGGAGTTCAGAGAGATGCTGCAGGGTGTTGGTTCTGAGCATGAGCAAGAGGCTATTCCAGACTTAGCTGTAAGAAACGAGCAAGTTTGTCACATAGAGAAAAGAAATGTCATGAGTCGTCAAGAGGGTCTTTCACTTGTGAAAACTCTGAAATGAGCAACAACTGTCCATTTTTTACAAAATACGGCAATGGTGCTTAGATAAAGTAGCTGGTAACAACCCAGAGCCATTGCATGTGTTTATCACAGGAGGGGCAGGCACTGGGAAAAGTCACTTGATCAGGGCGATTCAGTATGAGACATCGCGATTGTTTGCTCCTATTTGCCATAGTCCGAGATAGTGTTAGTGTTTTACTTACGGCTCCGACAGGGATAGCAGCGTATAACTTACAGGCGGCTACTATCCACACCACGTTTAGTATTGGTACTAATGTTTCCCTCCCCTACACTCCACTAGGAGAGGAAAAGATTAATACCTTGCGCGTTAAATACATGGATTTACAAATTGTAATTATTGATGAAATATCCATGGTCGATAAAAAGTTATTTACCTATATTCACGGTCGATTGCGTCAAATTAAACAGTCAAGTGACTTTTCTCCATTTGGAAATGTTTCTATTATAGTTGTTGGGGATTTCTTTCAATTATCGCCAGTCATGGGTCACGCTCTGTACAAAGAAGATGTAGGCGTTAATCTATTTACAGATTTATTCAAAATTGCGGAGTT